TAGACAATGTTGTTGTGTAAATTTTAAGCGATTCGTGAGATATTTAAGGCTTCATCGGGTGATTCGTCGCGTTTTATAGAGTGGGGGGATATGTCCATTAATTTATGTTGCATTCCGTATGGGAGTCTTTCGAGCGCTTTGTTCGAGAATGCGGGTGAGAGTGTGTTGTAGCTTTCGCCTAGGGCGAGAAGAGCGGGGATGTGTTGGGTGATCGAACAGACAAACGAAGGCAACTTATCGTATTTGATGAGATGTCCGGCTATCAGAATCCGTTCCAATTCTCGAAGATCACTGTCCTTCGCAAGGGAGTAGTCCCCGTAGTGTTCTTCTAGTATCTCTCTCATGGCCGTATATGTTAGGAATCCGAGAGGATCCCAGTGAGCGTTAGGAGAGAGAGAGAGCAGGTGCTCAGTCGGCAGGAGTCCGTTGTCCGGAGTTTAGAGTTGTTTCGGCACAATGTTCAGATGATCTCCGAGGGTCGAGGGCTGGCAGGGAAGGTGCTTCTCAAGAATGAGGACGCAAGGATTGCGTGTGACAGAAGAATCTGTGTCTGATGTTTATTTCAATGTGTCTTATATACCGTCCGGGTTTCATAGACCCTTACAATGAAAAAACGGAAGGAGTTCTCCAGAAAAAGACATTTCAGTCTTTTTCTGTATCAATTAGATCAGGGTTTCCTGGCTTACATATTTAAGTACAATTATCATGTAAACAAGTGTAATTAATTCAAAAACACTGACTTCTGGAAAACTTTTAAGACAGTAATGGCAATGGCCTCGTTCACAGAAACAGAGGTGATTTCCCAACATTTTCTCCCTTACTGCGGAAAGTTTTAAGGAAGTGCTCAAACCCCGATCATGGTACATTGGTTACCTATATATATATGTATGCTCAGGTTTTCTCCAGTGGGTATCCGATCCCTCGTGTTGAAGGATATTCATGTCTCGACGATCGCCTTCTCCGTCTGGAAGCTGGGACCCTTGGGAACTTCCTCCCATGGATGAGTCTGAAGCCGAAGTGTTACCCGTTGACCAACGCGCTGGTGCTGCTGCTTGTCCGATTGTGATTGAGGAAGATGCTGTGAAGATGCTGTCTGATCGTCCTCAGGCTCTGGCTGCTCGTCCTCGAAAGCGACGATCCAGGAACGGATTCATACAATTCGCACTCATGGTTCAGCGCAGGTATAGGCTCCGTTTTCAGCAAGCCATCGATGTTGCTGGACTCATCTGGCCAGACATGGATGCTGAGGCGTGTCGTCCGTATAGTGAGCAGGCTATTCAAGGGCGCTACCTCCCAGGCCTTGTAACCGCCCGGAATGTGTTGATCGCAGGGAGCAAAGGGAGAGGTTAATCTCTGAGCTTTCGGTCAGTCTGGAAAAACTGACTAAATAAATTCATTGTCTGCAATTGGTATGAAAGGGGGTGCTTATTCCAATGAGACTTTGTATTTTACCAAACCAGTCTACCTTGAGAGAAACGAAAACAAGAGAACAAGAAAGAGACGAGAAGTGGCAAACACAACTCGACCGACGCTTGCCATCGTCGGCGGACTCCTTTTCTACTCGAAATCCGAGGCATTCTGCCTCTTCTGGGAGTCGAAGGCTTCTCCTCAAAGTACGAGGGTACTTGTATCCTCGGTCCCACTTCGGTGGGACAATGATTGGAGCCGGCGAAGGGCCGGAGAGGTTTGCGAAAGCAAACCTATCTTCAAAATTTTTAAAAACTTGAAATAACATAAAGTCTTTGAATCAGAGAAACGCCTTTACTATGTTAGTTCCTCATCCTCCAATCCATTTAGCGGCCTAGCTCTCAATTCGATCTCGCGTTGGTGTCGGTGCCCTTGTGGTGCTTGGTATTCCCGTAGTGGGCCGACGGTGGGAGTTTCCGTCGTTGGTTTAATTGTCGAGGATGTTGGAACAGGCGTAGTGCTGCGAGCTGATGTCGTTGTGGTATGAATCCACCGACTGTAAGCATCCCAGATTGCTTGGCCGCCAGATACCTTGACGGGTGTGATGCAGGCCAAGTTGGGTGATACGTGCCGCATACAGGCTTGCTCAAACTCGTAGCAAGTGGACATGAAGTTGCCTCCTTCTGTCTGCTCGACTCCACAAGTGCGGCGTCTTTGCTGGCAGGCTTTGTCACAATCTCGGGTGTACTCGAAGAAGGCTTCGGAGCCTCCGATGGTGATGATCACCAAGAGTACCTCGGTCATGGTGTTCATGTTGCTAGTGGGCAGGAATACCGATTAAGCCTCTAAGCTTTTGAAAGGTTGCTTTCGTTGAGGCTTTGGTAGAAATGTCTGCGAGCTGATCTTGGGTCGGAACATGCTGAATTTTGATTCGAACACTTTCGAAAAGATCTCTCATGAGCAGCTAACGAACTGATATGTGTTTGGTTCGTTGACGATATTGGTTTTGACTCACCAATCACCAATGAAAACGTAGCTTGGTTGTCAATCAGTCAATCAGTGGATTGTCTGGTGGAGCTGGTTGAGTTTAACCATCTTCACTTCCATTTTGCGCGCTGCCACAGTTTAGCGGACTTTTCTTCGGGAATATGACATCCTTGGTTGTCACCACAATTTTTCTGCCAGGTGACCAGACTCTGTAACCTGCGACTTCCGTGCCTAGTCCCACGAGGAATCCAGGGATTCCGCGGGGGTCGAGCTTCTTTCTCGTTGGTTCCAAATTTACATACGTGCATGAGGTTCCAAATGGTCTGAATCTATCAAAATAGGGCTTCTTCCCGTAGAATATCTCATAGGCCGATTGATTTGTGACAGGGTTAATGGTCACGGCGTTCAAGACATCAGCACTATAGCTGATCGCTTCGGGCCATAGCGCCTTGGGTAATTTAGAGTCTATGAGGATGGTTCTTGCAAGTTCAACCAAAGTTCGATTGCTTCGTTCTGCTAGACCATTTTGAGCTGGAGTTCTTGGATTTGAAGCGGTTTGATCAGCTCCAATACCAGTAAGGATTTTGGTAACGGCAGCATTGAAAAACTCACCACCGTTGTCCGTTTTAGCCGGTCGATGTCGCGTTGAAACTTGTTTCGGAACCATCGAGTGTATTGTCAGATGGCCTCTGCTGCTTGCTACTTAGTTTTAAGGAAGTACACTCGTCGGAAACGACTGAAGTCGTCTGTCAGGCACATGAAGTGGTTGAAGCCGGTCAGGGATCGTTGGGCTGGCGAGCACAGGTCGCCATGGATGTATCCTGGTCTTTGTGCTCTGCAGTCTGCGGGTTTGGTTCGGTAGGTGTTCCGGTGCTGTTTTCCTTGTTGACATGATTCACAGTTGAAGAAGTCGTTTTCGTATTTTATTCCTTCACGGTCCAGGGTTTCCTAGATTTTTCTTTTATTTAAGTGCGCCAGAGCGTCGTGAGCGGCTTTCAAGCTTACCATGGCCTTGGTACTATAGCTTACAGTTTGCAGACATTTGGGCTCACATTTGTCGATGTTGAGGACGTAGAGTCCTTCCTGACATTCGGCTATCGCTCTTCCTTGACCGGTGAGATGAGGGTCCTCTCAGGGTTCATTGTGACTTTGTAGCCACTTTCCGTCAACTTGCTGACAGAGATAAGGTTCGTATTCATTTCCGGAACGTATAGGGCGTCACAGAGTTTGATAATCACACACTTGTTTCCTCGATGAACAGACACCAAGGCGTCACCATACCCCTGTGCCGTAAGGGTATCGTTATTACCAAGTCTGACTTCTCGAGATGTCATCGTGGAGTTCAGTTTGGTGAAGAAACTCTTATCGTTGAGCACGTGATGAGAGCTTCCGGAGTCGACAACAAATTGCACCTGTTTAGTGTTAGCACTTCCCTTGTCTTTGCTCGAGTCTTCCTTCGTGAGGAAGACCGTGGCCACGTGCGCCTCCGGTTTTCCTTTGGTTTTTCGCGTAGGATTCTTCTCGTTACAGAACCTTGATTAATGTCCCACTCCATTACATGTCCAACAGCGTAACTCCGTGGTGCGGGAGTAAGACTGCATTTTCCGCGTGTTCGTATTCTGTCGCTGGTATTGTTGCCTCATAGGTCGACGTCTTCTTCTGGTGAGGTTGGTCCTTGCCATGAGAACAGTTACATCGTTGATGTCGCCGCTCTCGATTTTCTGACGAGCAGCCTCACTTCTGATGAGGCTAAGTAGAGTTTCCAGGGTCTTGTCGTCGGAGGATCTTGTGGTCCATGCTTGCTTGAGATAAGACCAGGAGCTTGGCAGGGCACTCACCATCTTGGAGATTTGAACTTGTGGGTCCAATACCAAGCCGACCTCAACGAGTCCGTAGGTTGACCTCTGGTACCTCATGATGTTCTCAGTGACGCTTTGAGCCTCATTGTACTCGTAGTTGAGCCATACATCAAGAGCCTGTTCCTTGAAGATTCCATCATTGCGGCTGAAATGTTTCTTGATAGTTTCCCACATAATTACAGCACTCACGGTGGCTGATTCTCCGTAGAACAGTTCGAGGATGATATTCGGATGGACGATGTTGAAGAAGACGGTCCTGGCGTTGCGATTTCCGGTATCATACTTTGCAAGTATAGCTGGATCCTTGTCCGGCTTGATTTCTTCGTTCACCACCTGCCACGCGTAGTTCTCCGCTTGGAGGAGTCCGGGAGCCAATGT